TCACATCAACCTCACTTTGGGCCATGATTAATGGAATAGCGTGATGAAGAGGTGTCACTACATGGGTGGCATATGAGCAAAGGGAAAACAAACACGGTGCCCAGGGTTCCGATAGATTATAGCCAGTATTTCCACTATGATTCAACACCTCTCATGCGTTCTCATTTAATTTTGGTATCAATCCCATATATTACATTATTCTCATTTTAGACATTTCAAAAGGAAACCGAGACTCAGAATGGCCTAAAAAAACAAAAGAGGCAAGCTTGCAAGCCAGTGACAGGGCTTTGATTTGAATCTGGATCCTTTGGGCCCCAAATCCAGGGCTTCCCAGAATTAACACCTTTGCTTCATAAACAGCAATTCCTAACCTTCTCCAAATCTTGGGTCCCTCGTCTGTGAATCAGGGAGTGAGACTTGGGGGAGGGGCAGGCACATACCAGTACCAAGGCTGCTCACACCACGGGAGCATTTGGAAGCTCAAATGGAAGCACATTTTCACCACGGAAGTAAGGACTATATTAACAGACATGCTCTGATGGAGGGAGGAGGGTATTGGAAGCTGTGCAAAACAGGAGTGCTTCCTAAACCTGCCGAGTTGGCACAGCTGGGCCACAGTGAGAGAGGTATGCACGTAAGGGGGTGGTCAAGGGAGGTGGCCCTCTTCTCAGCCTCTCCAGTTCTCCCCGAGGTCGGCTCCAGGTCCTAATTACCTGGGACTGGGCATAGCTGTCCTTCTGGTAGGCCCTCAAGCATTGAGTGTAGCCCCAAAGGCCAGAGCTAGGCCTGCTGACCCCTCACGCTGCTCGCTCGTGGTGTGTGCCCCCGCTGGCCGGGCCCCATGCCTCTGCCAGGTGCTCGTGCTGATAGCTCGGAGCCAAGGCCACCACCGAGAATGCTGCTGAGGGCCTTGGCCTGGTCCATGTCCTGCCACAGCCAACACCGTGCATCCGACCTGCTGCCGGGAAGCCTTTGCTGCCTGCTAGCAGAGGGGGCCGGGGAATCCCCACAGTCTGCATGACAAATCAGTTCAAAGACGCCAGCCTCGAGGGCATAAGGGGCCCCTGTTACCACCTGCCAAACTCAGAGTCAGTGCTACCAGATTTACTTTTTAATTCATAAATCCTGGTGGATCAGAGCATGTCCTCCCAGCTTTGCTGAATCCTCTCTGGCAGGAGCTGGGAACAAAGCCACAGCCCCGGGGCTCGGCCTTCGCCTCCTGTCTCTAGGGCTGGAGTCTAGGCCAGCAGAGATGGTGCCACGGGCCTAGCAAATGGCAAACTTTTGGTGTGAATTTCCAGTATTTGAATATTGATATTCCAGAATATTGAATGTTGATGGAAGGGAGGGGTTCTTGCCACATTGTCCCCCAAATGGCCCCTGCCTTCTGCTTGGCTTGCAGGGGGAGAGTTGCTCTTCGGGATCTTGGGCTGCCTTCAAATGAAAGTTCCAATCAGAAATTGTTCCTGGGCTCCAGACTCCCAGCAGGCTTTGGGGTGGGTGTCAGTGAGTCTGTGCACTTCTTGGACTCGTCTGAGTCTTGTCTATACTTCTTGAATATCTCATCTACATTGCACATGGCAGTTAAGAATCCCTACTGGCAGGGCACCTGGGTGGCTGAGTGGTTGTGCGTCTGCCTTCCAGCTCAGGTCATGATCCCAGGATCCTGGGATCAAGTTCTACATCGGGCTCCCCGCAGGGAGCCTACTTCTCCCTCTGCCTTTGTCTTTGCTTCTCTCTCTGTGTCTCTCATGAATAATAATAATAATTTTTAAAAATCTAAAAAAATCATTAAAAAAAAGAATCCCTATTCGTACCCTAGTAGTCTCTCTCTCTCTCTCTCTCTCTCTCTCTCTCTAAGATTTTATTTATTTATTCATGAGAGAGAAAGAGAGAGAGGCAGAGACACAGGCAGAGGGAGAAGCAGGCTCCATGCAGGGAGCCCGATGTGGGACTCAATCCTGGGACTCCAGGATCGCGCCCTTGGCTGAAGGCAGGTGCTAAACCGCTGAGCCACCCAGGGATCCCCCTAACAGTCTCTATTGGGATTTTATAGGGCCTTTCTTATTTCTCGAGAGATCCACGATCCAAGAATAGTTAAGAACTGTTGCTCCAGAAAGAGAAAGCTCCTGTGTCCTGCTCTCTGTAAACAGGGACCCTCTGCTCCCAGACTTCCAGGAGCTGGAGCATCAGCTGCGGACAGGGCCCAGGGCGTGGCTCTGGAGCCCGTACTCAGGTATCCAGAAACTGGAAGCACTTTCCCCCTGACCGATCCAGGGACACAGTTGCCCGCCTCAGCCTCCTCCTTCCCGCCCCTCTCCCTCATACAGCAGGCCTCGGAAAGGGTGGGACCAGAGAGTGGGACCAGATCCGCAAGGGCTTTCTCTGGGGCGGAGCACAGGTGCGGAGAGGCTGGGCGCCTCTCTAGGATCCGCGTCCCACTAGCTCCAGGAAGGGAATGTAGCAGCGTGTAGGGAGCGCAGTGGGCTACAGAATCCTGTCTTCAAAGAACGAAACCCCCAGAGGTAAACAAGAACTACCCGGAGGGGCGGCAACAGCCGGCGGAGGGGGAAGATCAAGGCAACAGCAGAGTCCAGGAGAAAGGGCTGGCCGACAACATAGACACAACATAAAGATGTGTCTGTGCTAAATATTTCCAGTGCAAAACCAAAACCAAAACCAGACAACGACTACAGTCTCAGAATCTCAGAAGGTGGGGGAGGGAAGGGGGGAGGGGGGATGAGATCCAGGCCACGAAAGCACAAAGGTGCCCCAGGAGTACCTCCCCTCCTGTCCGAAGTACTGAGGTTCTAGAAAAGCACTGGGGCTCCCCAGAGGCAGGAGCGCTGCATGCTGTGCTCCAGTGAAAGCCCAGGGACCCCCAGCCCCAGCCCCAGCCTCCAATGGGGAACCAAGCCTGAAGCCCTTTGCTAGGAAGGGGGCCTCAGGTCCCCACCATCCCCGCAGTACTCGCCTGTGGCAGAGAAAACCCCGAGTCTTCTCTGTCCTCTCTCCTTGGCAGTTCAGGGCCTCCTTGGGGCAGTGCTCCTCGGCTATTCTGGAGTAAGGGGGGGGGTGTAGGAAATCACTTTTTCCACCAATTCCTCATCTAACAGCACACTCTGCTCCCAGCTCTGTCTCGAACAGGCCCCCCGCCGACCTTGGGGACCCACTTTTATCAGGCCTGCAAGGTGACGGGCACCTGCCCACTAGCTGGCTGCCCCGCGATGTAGGTCCAGGGCTGCCCCGGACACGCTGACTCTCTGGCAATCCACATGTGCATATGAAGGGCCCATTTACAATCCTTGGTTCAAATGTTTAGACAGCCGTTTTTAGTGGGGCAAAGGCACCCTGGGGCCTACCCCGCGCTGCACCCCCACCCTCCACAGGTAAGTGCCCCTGAGGGCGGCCCTGCTCTTCACAGAGTTTCGGGGGGCACAGCGCCCGGGCTGCCCTCACAGTGTGGAGCTCAACCACAGGGCAGTGGGGAGAGCTTACCCAACCTCCTCCTTGAGTATATTGTTCTGTGGTTTACTAGGACACCATATATGGTTCCCAGGAAATCCTGGGGGGCAAAAATCCATCATCGATAGTGACCTTCAATATTCTTATGTATTCCAGCATTGCTTGTAAGCACAGGAACTTCGCTCAGGGTCAGTCTCTCTTAATCACTGAATTAGCCAATCATTAACACCTGACCATCTCTGCCCCGCTCTGTAAAGAACATTAAGAACGACTATTAGAAATACGGGGTCCTCCATTGATTAGTGAAATATGTCTATGTATGCATGTGTACACACACATATATACTGATACAAAAGAATATCTAGTTAAACTGCTGAGTGGGTGACAGAGACACTGAGTCCTCTAAGAGCTCAAAGAAAGGGTAAAAGGAGCACAGTGAAAGATGGAGAAATCAGGAAAACTCCCTGGAGGAGGTGATGTCTGAGCTAGAACTTGAGAAATGGGAACAACTGTCCTGGACCTTGATGGGCAGGAATGACCCTGGTTTAGTTGGCTGGGAGAAATGGAATTTCTGATTGAGTGGCGTGGAGGAGCATAACTCAATAAACAACACGGATAACACTTTGGTTAATGTGGTGGGGAAATATCTGGCTTTTCAGTTCAGCATCTTTTTAAATGGAGTTGAGCAAAATCAGTTTGTTAGTGGTACTTGGACTATGCAGGACTCACAGATGTCAGCAAGGGCAGCAAATGCTACGTTCTAGGTTGGGCAAGTAACATCTGCTAAGAGTGATGTTACTTATCACTCTTAGGGGCACCTGGGTGACTCACTTAGTAAAGCACTGGACTCTTGATCTCAGGATCATGAGTTCAAGCTCCATGTTGGGCTCCACACTCCTACTTAGAAAAATAAATATAAATAAATAAATAAATAAATAGATCTTATAAATCAATAGGAAAATAGCAAATATCTTCTTTGAAAAAGTGGGCAAAGGACAGTATTGAGCATGATGTAAAAGAAGGAAAACATAAGAAAATGTACAACTTCATAAGAAAAGCAGAAAGTTAAAAACTACAATTTGGCAAGGTTAAATAAAAAGATAAAAGCCAATGTAATGGGCAATCATAAGATCATATACTGTTGGTAAGAAGAGACCAGTGTGCAGCCTTCAACTAAGCAGATAAGTCCACCTTTTAGATTATCCTAAAGAAAGAATTAAGAGTTTGAATAAAGAGTTTGTGCAAGGATTTTCATTACCTGAGTTTACCACAGTCAAAAACTAAAATAACTTAAAAAAATTCTTTTTAAAGATTTTATTTATGAGAGACACACAGAGAGAGGCAGAGACACAGGCAGAAGGATAAGCAGGTTCCCTGCAGTGAGCCCCATGTGGGACTCGATTCCAGAACCCCAGGGTCATGACCTGAACCAAAGGCAGATGCTCAACCACTGAGCCACCCAGGTGCCCCTAAAATAACTTTTTAAATGGGAGGGCCAAGGGGCACCTGGGTGGCTCAGTTGGTTAGGCATCTGCTTTCAGCTCAGGTCATGATCTTGGGGTCCTGGGATCCAGCCCCATATGGGGCTCCCTGCATAGTGGGGAGCCTGCTTCTCCCTCCTGCTTGTGCTCTCTCTCACTCTCTCTCTGTCAAATAAACAAAATCTTCAAAAAAAAAAAATGGGAAAGCCAAGAACAGGGTATAAGAAATACATTTACTGGGGGTGCCTGAGTGGTTCAGTCAGTTAAGTACCCAACTCTTGATTTCAGCTTAGGTCATGATCTCAGGGTCATGAGACCAAGCCCTGCATCCGGTTCCACAGTCAGTGGAGAGTCTGCTTGGATTCTCTCTCTCCTTCTTCCTCTGCCCCTCCGCCTGCTTGAGTGTGCACTCGCTTGCTCTCTCTCTCGTTCTCAAATGAAATACACAAATCTTAAAAAAAAAAGAAATATGTTTATTAATTTGGAGGTTTGTTTGCAACATATTATCACATTTTTTTAAAAGGCATAAAGCAGATCACACAACAGTACACATGCACAGTGTATATGCTATTGGTATATAAAAGTAAAAACAAACCAAACTATATAAACCTGCATACATACACATATAAATCTATACATACATGCATATGCATCCATCTGTATGTATTTCTCTTTCTTTCTATATGTACATGTAGGCGTACGTGCACACACATATGCATATATACAAATAAATACACAGACGTCTATACACCTAGGTGTTATCATTCCACATTTCTAAGTAATGGGATTACAAGCAATGTCTATTCTCTTTTGTATATATTTTATGTTTATTTTATAACTGTTTTCTACACTAAGAATATTTTCCCCTTTAATTTAGAATAAGAAAGCTCAGAGAGCCCCGCACAGCCGCACTGCCGCCGCTAGCCTAATTTCCATCACACCCAGGAGGAGCTGCAGCTGTGGCCGCTGGCCCCTGTCACCATCCCTGCAAGGACAAGCCACCGGGCCAGACCCAGCAGCTGCCTGCCTGCCCTCTGCAAGGCCATACCAAGCACCCAGAGCAACAGCTGAGGACTCACTTGTCTGATGCACCTGCCTGCTGGGCCAAGGTCACTGCAGTGAAGTTTTGGGGAACAGTAAAATGGTTCAGTGTAAGAAACGAATATGGTTTCAGCAAACAAGGAGGACACCAAGGAGGAGGTGTGTGTACACCAGACCGCCACAAAGAAGAACTCCAAGGTAGAAGGCTGAGAGACTGGGATTTGATTTGATCCTGTTCAAGGAGAAAAGAGGCAGGGACAGCAAATCCTGGGGGCCCCTGTGGAGCTCCAGGGTGAGGCGGTAACACACAGTGCACCCTAGGCTCCGCAGACTGGCCCAGGGGCCCAGGGCCCCCACCGCCATCACCAGCGGAGCCTCCAGAGCCGTGAGAGTGCAGGTTACAGAATGTGGCACCAGGAGTAAGCCCCGTGGTCAGTCCCAACATCACCAGCCCTATCCTACCGCCTGCTGGCTCCCAGCTGGCTGGACCCCAGCCTTCCAACCCTCCTGTGTGGGGAGAAGGGTGGCGGGGCTGACAAGCAGGGTGCAGGAGAGCAAGGTAGGCCCATGAGGCAGGACATGCATCGGGCTTACGGACCACGATTCTGCAGGGGTCTCTCCTTGCCAAAGACAGAGAGGATGGCAGTGAAGAAGACAAGGAAAAGAGACCCAAGGTCAGCAGCCAGCTCAAGGTTGGTACCCGCACAACCTCAATCACCCACGCAGATGCACAGAAACCCTGAAACGCTAGATGGCATGGGGACAGAAGCAGCCGATCTATGGGCTGAGGCTCTGCTCCCAGGCTGGGCAGGCCGGGGCTGAGTAAATGCCAGGTGACCCTCTCTCCCACCACCTGGTCTAGCCATCCAACAAGTACGAATTTAACATTCCAGCAATAAGAGATGAGCAAAAGATTGGAGCTGAAGACATTAAGTGCTTGCTTTTTGCCCACTGACCAGATAACTAGAACTAACTGCATTATCTCTGCAGGATGGGGTTTCTATTATTTTTACCTCAAGACAACTCTTATTGGGAATGATAAATGTGGGCTTTTTTAGTGTTTTTTTTTTTTAAGATTTTATTTATTTGAGAGAGAGAGAGAGAACATGAGTGGAGGAGGGGGGCAGAGGGAGAGGGAGAAGCAGACTCCCCGCTGAGTGGGGAACCCAATGTGGGGCTCTATCCCAGGACCCTAGGATTACCACCCGAGCCAAGGGTGGATGCCTAACCAACTGAGCTACCCAGGTGCCCCTATTTTGTTTTTCTAAAGAGACCTGGTTTTTCTCAATTCACTTTTAGAGGTTTTTTAATGTTTCATATCTGTTCAAATTGAGATTTCTAAGGACCTCAATCTTAATTTGTAATAAAAGTTTACAATTTGATTCTTCAAAAGGACCAACACACAGCAAGCACATGGTAATAAAGATCTTAAGTAATAAATACATAATTTTAAAAATGTAAAGCTCAGATTCTTCTGCAGGAACCCATGTTAGTAGGACGGATGGAGTAGTAGGAACTCACAGTGAGAGTGAATGATGCTGAGGAGCCAGGAGATTCTGGAAGAAGCATCCTAATGTATACAGCCCAGAGCCCAGCGTTTGTGAGGCCGAGCAGAAGGAGATGTGGCTCCGCTTCCTGACACACATTGCATCTGCCAGCGTGTATTTCAAAGAGCAACACCTGGAGATAGAAAGAGGAGAGAAAACTGAAGTGATAGACCTCAGGCCCAAAAGGGAAATAGTGGCAAGAGCGCATAAAATCCAGCCTGGAGGCTGTCGTTTTGCACACCACACCCTCACCAGTGGCTTCCGCAGTCTCAAGAAGTTGAAAAATGAATCCACATTAAAGAAGGTGGATGTGTGTTCTAAGAATCTCCCTCAAATGGCTCAGAGGTACTTCTATTTCGTTCAAGTTGGTGAAGTGTCCTCTCCTGAGTTCTGAAAAGCAAGACTTCCTCCTTCCCTCTTCTAGAAGGAACAACATGAACAATGAAAGTATCCTACTCTTAGGAAAAATTTCTTCTATCCAATCATTATCATTATACCCATTCTACAGCCGGGGAAGCCGAGGCTTTGGGGCACATGCAGGACTTGATCCCAGTGTACTAACTCCCTCCTCCCTCGGTAATTTTTTGGAGCACCTAAAATACAAAACTAGGGTCCGTGGGTGGCTCAGTCTGTTAACTGTCTGCCTTCGGCTCAGGTCATGACCCTGGGGAGCCTGGGATGGAGCCCTGCACCTGGCTGCCTGCTGGGGGGGGGGGGGGCTGCTTCTCCCTCTCCTGTTCCGCCTGCTTGTGCTCTCTCTTTCGGTGTCAAATAAATAAATAAGTAAGTAAGTTAGTAAGATATTTTTTTAATTCAAAAATTAAAATAAAATAAAACGCAGAGCTCACTCGAAGGCAGACGTTTACACCAAACAGGCACTGCCGCGTTTGATATTTAAGGGAAGGCAAGGGCGCAATCACGCGCGCCTTATTTATCATCTTGCCTCATTACACAATCACGTCAAAGCTGCTGACACATCGAAGCGGGAGCCCCACGTTTTGCGTTGTTTTGCTTTGTTTTGTTAATCCCACGGTGGACTCTCTGGTCAACTCCGCGGGAGGCAGGAAACAGCAGCCCCGGGCGCACGCACGTGCCCGCTTCCCTCCCGCGGCCTCGCCGGGTCCGCCCGAGCCGGTCTGCGGGGCGGGGCGGGGCGGGGGTCGGAGAGGCCGGCGGGCTGCAGCGCTCCTCCTCCCTGATGCTTCCTTCTTTTCTTTTTAAAAAAGTCTTACTTATTTATTCATGAGACACACAGAGGGAGGCAGAGACACAGGCAGGGGGACAAACAGGCTCCCTGCGGGGAGCCCGATGCGGGACTCGATCCCAGGACCTCGGGATCATGACCTGAGCCAAAGGCAGACGCTCAGCCTCTGGGCCACCCGGGCGCCCCTCCCTGATGCTTTTCAAGCAGGAGCTGGAATCTGCAAAACTAACCGGAGCCCAGACAGACCCATAAAAGGGAGCAGAGGATACTCTGTTTCCCCTGGTGCTGAGAACTAAAGCGAGACTCGCCCCGACCCCGGCCCCGGTGCGGTGCGCGGCCTCCACCCCGGCAGGGCCTCCTCCGCAGTCGAGGACCAGTGTCCGCAGCGCGCAGCCTTTGCTGGCTTGTGTGTTTTGTTTGGCGGTTCCTCAGACATCCTCGGGGTTTTTTTGTTTGTTTTACTTTAGAAAAAAAATGGATTTCTGTGCCTTTTGGACTGAATTGTTTTCGATAGGCAATGCATTTCCATAGTCCAGAAACAAAAATATAGAAAAATGAATACACAGCGAAATCTTTTTGAAGTTAATTTTATTTTCTTTATGTCGTCTCCACCCAAGATGTGGCTCAAACTCAGGACCACAAGACCAAGAAGTGAGTGCTCTACTGGCAGGGTGGCCTCTACATGGGGAAATCTTTTTTTTTTTTTTTTTTTTTTACATGGGGAAATCTTGATCCCACCTTTGCCCACATCTCTGCGGGTCCCCTCTCTTCCTCATGGGCAACTCTTTTTCATTAGTTTCTTATGTAGCTTTCCAGTTTGCTACATAATATACTTATTTTTCTCACTTTCTTATTGAATAGGCACTCTCAATGGGGGAGATACCACCCCCAAAGGGGTGAAAATGGATTTTGGGAAGCGAAAAATTCTTCCTCTTTTTATGGATAAATCACAAATACATTAGACATAAAGCATATAAACAAATATACATGATATTAAAATTTCATGGGGTGGCAATCAGGAAAAAAATGTCTCTAAAGGTTTCTTAGGAGGGTGATAATGAAGAAAAATCTGAGAAACACTGCTATAGAAATCAGCAGACGATATGCACTAGTCTGCACCTTGCTTTTTTCACTCCACAGTATATCCTAGGGATCTTTCCACATCAACTGATGCATTTACTTCATTTTTTATAGTGACATGGTATTCCATTGTGCAGATGCCATTATATCTTTAACCTGTTCCCTATTAATACATACTTGGTTTGATTCTAATCTTTGGCTGTTGTAATATCGCAGCGAACAGCCTTCTGCTTACATTGTATATACTCACAGGTAAATCCATGCATCATGGATTCCTGGAAGTGGGGTTGCTGGGTCCAAAGGTAAATTCCTTTATTTACTTATTTTTTTAAAAAAATTTATTTATCCATTCATGACAGACACACAGAGAGAGGCAGAGACACAGGCAGAGGGAGAAGCAGGCTCCATGCCGGGAGCCCGACATGGGACTCGATCTCAGGTCTCCAGGATCACACCCTGGGCTGAAGGCAGGCGCTAAACCACTGAGCCACCCAGGGATCCCGGTAAATTCCTTTAAAGGCTGGCAGACACTGCCAGATGCCTCTCCATGTTGCACTGAGTCTGTCATCCAATGTAAGAAACAGGTTGGCTATCTTTAAATGGCTGTCTGATGCCCCCTGAGGATTATTATGTTAGTTGGAACTGGGCTGGGGACAAGGTGGTCATGGGGTTCCTGGGTCTCCTCTGGGCTGGGCCGTGTGCCTCAGCAAAGCAGAGAGAGGGCCCTTGGTGATAGTAGTCATACAAGGAAGGGGTCCCTACATATATGATGAGGAGCTTTGGGCCTTCAGAGGGAATATTATTTGGGGTGACCTCAGGCAGTGGTGTGGGATTTGGCACTCCTCCCTCATAATCTAGGGCCTGTAGCTTATGGGAAGGCAGTTCCCAGTACAAAGTGAGCATAACTCAACCTTGACTTTCTATCCTAGAAGCAAAGGGCCTGGCAGGGGAGGTTAGTTCTGCATGGAACATTCAGGCTCTCACACAGCTTGGCTCCTGACACAATTCCCTTTCCACAGTCCTGTGCAGGGAGGAATGTCACGTGGCAGAGGCCTCATCTTCCCCAGAAACCTCAGGAAGGTGATTGCATGTGCACACACACACGCACACACACATGCACACGGGAGGTGCGGAGCCCTCCCTGCAGCCCCGTTATCACTTTGATCTGGACTGAAATTAATTGCTCATGAGACATTTGTGCTTAACACCTCAACTGACTCTGCAAAGATTTATTTGGCCTTTAAATTATTTAAACCATTGTAATCATATTTGCTTTCCACAGAAATCTGCTGTATTTACCAGCTTGAAAGGAATCAAATGAAGCTCCTGGGGTGGCTGGCCGCTGCTCTGGGCTCTATTTGGATCCCCCTCCTGGAGATAGTCATCCCCCCATGGGGTTCGAGGCATGTTTTCTGGTGCTTGTTAACCAAGGTTGAATACATCACAGCATACAGAAATATACACTGCATTACCGTCATGTCTGAGCGATCGCTGGGCAGGATTGTGACTGATAATTTATTCAAGACATCGTCTCCTTCCTGTTCCAGTCAGACCCCGGAGCCCACCTGGTCTTTCCTGCCTAGCTCTGTAAGGAACTCGGGATTCCCGCTCTGCTCAGAGAAGACTTTTTAGTCTGGTGAATGAATTTAAATAAATAAACAACTGCAGTAAACCTGACTTCAAGGAAGGAGTGTGCACAGGGCCTCCCCTTGCCTCTGCAGCTTCTCTCCATGACGCTGAGCACGATAAAGCTCCAAGCCAGCACGAGACGCGATAGAAGTGTCAAATGACATAAATTGTGAATCATAAGTCACAGTTCCATTTGCTCCACCACAGTGTGAAAATGGCAAATTTTTCATCAAGAAAGACAAGAAGAACTAGGGTTGCCTCCATGTCACTTGGCTGCCACGATCCTGCTGTTGTCCACATCTTGGCTGGTGGACCTTCTCCGGCCCCCCGCTCAGGCCTGCTCGGACCAGCACTTGCCTGCCTTGTCTGCCTGGATGCACGCATTGCTCACTCTCCCTCAGGTGATCGATATTTTAGACAGTTTGGATTGTTGTTTCATTCATGGTAACAACTGGGGAAAGTGGAAAAACAACAGTGGAATCAACTGGTAATTCATTCTCTCTCTCTCTCTCTCATTCTTTCTGTCCTTTCCCCCTGCTCTTTCCCATCCCCATATTTTCTCTCACCTGCCCCGGAATTCCAAAGAGAGGTAGGATAAGAACCAGTAGAACCCAGGTTTAGCCGAAACCACCAGGGCCTTTTACAAACGATCCTCAGAACAGGGCTGTGGACAGTCATACTTGCATGGGGTATTTGGAGAATTTGGAGTAAATACTCCCAAATTTGAGAATTCACACCAGGTCTATGACAAAAATTCTGTGGCTTCTCCACAGCCCTTCCTGGGTCTGGGGTGTGTCTGAATCACTACCTTCTACTTCTAGAACACACATCTAGCCCTACTGAGAGAGTCTCTACATGGTGGGCCAAACCATATTGCAAGATGCCAGGCACTTCGAGAGAGGCCTAGGTCAGCAGTGATTTATTTTATTTTTAAGACTTGATTTATTTACTTGGAGACCATGTGTGAGCTGGGCGAGGAGAAGAGGGTCTGGGAATGCCTGGCAGTAGCCCTTTTGCTGTCACGGCAAAACCCTCCCAAGGGAAACGGAGCTTTTTTTCTAACCGGAGCTGGAATGAGCCCCCAGCCAATGTCCCAAACTGGTTCAGTTCCCTTTTTAGGGTGAAGTATCACCATGTTCTATGGAGAAATGATCCGATCTTAGCAGGTGGCTCTTCAGGCTGGTTAGTGACCAGTCTACTGCCCTGTCTTGTTCCTCCCCGCAGGAGATGAATGGCCCCTTCTTTCCTTAAGTTTCATGGCTGGTTCCACTGCTGAAAATACCATTCTCAACACAACGTAGCCTCTGGTAGGCTCTGTACAGGGATGTCCCAGCCTCGGGGCTCCAGGCAGGGTGGGGTCCACCAAGCAGAGCTGGCACCTCGCTTGCCCGGACAGTGCAGGTGTGAAGGGGAAACCACCCAGGGCCTTTAGGGTGCAGCCTGCAGCCCTGGCATCAACTGGAGTTGGAAGAGGTGCCAGGAGATGAGGGCGGCCAGTCCTGAAAAAGAGGAAGAGGCCTGGCTGGAAAGACAGGGGAGGGAAGGCGTGGCATGGTTAAGGACGACCATCAGCGCTCCTGGTTTTTACAGGCTCTCGATTGTTCACTTGATTCAATATCTAACTTAGGTGAACAGATGGTAATCAGATAACATCAACTGCTTCTACTTCCTCTGGCTTCTCCTTCCTTGTCCCCAAAGGAGTTCCAAGTTTCTTTTGTTTTATTTTGCCTTTTTTTTTCTTTTACAAAGGAAATTAGACAAAGCTGGACCTAGAAACCATTGACACAGTGTGTGTATCGGGGCGGGGAGGCACATTTTCTTTGCAAAAGGGAGGCTGGCAGGGTTTTCCGTGCTGCTTGGATCCGTGGCTCAGGGAAAGAATCCTGGAGTGAAGAGCAGCAGAGTTTCAGTTCCTGGGCATAAGACCATCGTGGGCAAACTAATTAGGCTTCTGCTCTCAGATGAAATCTTTTGCAGGGCAGAAAGCATGATGACACAGAGGAGGCAGCTCGGAGATGCGTTTCCTATAATAAATTCTCCATGCATGCTGGGGACAGTAAAGCACTTTCGTACACGTTTTTTTATGAGACATCTTGGGCACACAGAGGTGAGGCGGGGGGAGAAAGAAAATGACAACAAAACAGAACCCAAAATAGCACAGCATTGCGTGGGAAGGATGATAAACTTACAGCACTCTGGTGACCGACGTGGAGGTTTCACTTTATCGCTCTATAACCGAGTGTCTTGGGAGGTTTACTGTTTCCATTCTTTCCTTTCTCCATGTTCCTATGTTTTCCTCATGTGAATATATATGTTGTTGCATATTTTCCTTCCATTTTGGATGTTTTTCCTCATCTCAACCTACCTTGGATCCCTGCGGCCTTGCTGCTCGGGGGGGATGTGATTGGCCCCGTGGCAAAGTGCCCTCTAGCGCCGTGTCTCAAGGGCTGCCTCTTGTGAAAATGCCTGTGGCCCCAGCTGGCCCCTGAGCATCATCATTCAAGGACCAGGCCCAGCTGCTGCTGCTTTGAAGGCAGAGGCATCCCCCGAATCTGAGGAAATGGGATCCCTGGGATTTCCCCCCCTACCAGTTCACGCGAAGCCAGGCGACCATCTGTTGGGCCGCAAGGAAAGTCACTGCAGCCTGAAGCAGCTTTTGCATCTTGCTCGTGCCCATTCCTTGATGATCAGGCTGTTCTCGGGGCTTCCACTTTCCGCAAGGAAGTCCTACCACTCCTGCGTCAACCCCAGCCCCAACCTGAACAGCCCAGGAGAGACAGGGAGTGGTGGGCGCCACAGTCCTGCACCTCTGCGATGGCATTTTCAGGGTCCAGGCCGACTCATTGCACGTGAACTTGGACGATGAGGCGTGACCACCACCATACCTGTAGGCACCAGGGTCCATACATGGGGCCTGCGATATCCCCTGGATCAGGCGGCACTGAATGGGAGAAGCAGAAGGGCAGGGGGTGGGTGACCAGGGAAGGATCTGTGGAGTTTGCAGAGGCTAGGTCTGTGCTAGACCAGGCTACCCATGCCAACCATGCAGGCTGCTACTCTGGCATCCAGTCTTGAGCGTGCAGCCACTGCAGGTCCGCCAGGCCATCAGTTGAAAAGAAAGCAGGATGTAGGTGACAGCAAGAACAAACTGGAACTTGCAAAGGTGAGCTGAAATTCCCGTGACAACTGAAACGTGGAGAGGAAGGGGAACCTGCTTGTGTCTCCTGTCACCTTGATGCCTTGAGTGACATGGGGGGGAAGCTGGCCCCCTCTGCTGCAGAGCTGCATGCACACACGGCACAGGACTTGGAGAGGGTGAAGGAGGTCTGGTGGGTGCTACAAGATCTCCAGAGCCTGGGCTGTCCCTCACCACCCCCGGGGAGCCAGTGGTGGTGTCTACAAACCCCTAGAGCACCTGTAGCCCTGCCCCACATTCAGAGCTTGAGAACTCTGGTTCGTGTTTCACCTCCAGCTTCCCAATTTTGGTCTCATGTGGCCAGTGCTCACCTGGGACCATATGGGACAGGGAAATTCGGGGACTACAGCTCCGGTTGTCTGTGCTGCGGTAGTACAAAACCGCTCTGATGCCTGTCCAGAGAGTGGTGACCTTCCACCTCCACGTCCCTCAATCCCACCTGTGGAAGAAATGCCAAACCCAGGGCGGTACATTCGTTCTCGTGCCTGTGTGTTTTGTTCACTGTCACATCTCTGGTCAATTCCAGAGACAATCTCCACAAACTCTGACCTTCTGGCAAGTTTTCAGGCCACTCTGCATTTTTATGGCAGTCCTCGAATGAGCAGGCATTTGCTGAGCACCCTTTTGGAGCTAGACCCTGGGCTGGAATCGAGGAAAAAGCAAAGAAACAGAAAAAGCCACTCGTACCCTCTGGGTTAAGAGGCGACATGGATTCATTGGAAGCTAATTAATATCCCAGTGTTACACTGGGTAAGAGGCAGGCAGTGCTAATGAGTGCTCTAGGAGTCTCCTTGCGGAGGACTTTGGGGAGGCTTCCCAGAGGAGTGGACTTCCAGCAGTGTGTTAAAACAGATGGAGAGGGGAGGCAGGTGGAAGACAACAGCAAAGGAGCAGAAGTGGGAGATGGAAAGGTCCACTGGGGGCAGGGAAGGCCCCAGCCCCCCTAGCTCAAGGGCTGCGTGTAGAGGATGGGAGGCAGAAAGTCGGGGCTCACATCCAGGAGGAGGCTGGCATGTGATCCCCCCAACTGCCTGAGCTCCCCCAGCCTTGTGAATGGAAAACACGAGCCTGGTGATCTTCAGGGAGGATGACAAATAGCGGACACTCATGCAGGTTATGGGAGCGGGTGCTGGTTCCCTGTCACTTCATCCCAGACTACCCCTCACCTAGTTACTGTGATTCCCCACCGCCGCACCAGGAGCCCGAGTCTTAGGAGATGAGGTCCCTTGGCCACCCAGTAAGCGGCCGACCTGGGACCCGCATTCCTGGCTGCGCCCGTGGCTCCCGCCCTCAGCCTCATGGACACCACCCAGGGCCAGCGCCACCTTCCTGTGCACCGGCTGCCAGGCTGCCCAGCGGCGGCCCGCGGCGGTTCCACGCAGAGGGACCGAGACATTGCCGCGGATGCTGAGCGACCCGGCAGGTGGTGTCGTCCCCAGGGCCTGCTTCGGTCCCCTGATGCCAGTTCCCATTAGGGCGGGAGGCACTTGAGGATTCAGTCTGGCTCATAAGAGCATTCCGCCACCTGAGAGAGGGGCTTTCTCTGCCCTCCCGGGGGAGGGGACGGCGGCGACCGGGCCCACACGGCGGTGCGGCACGGGGGCTCGTGCAGCGTGCCCTTGCTTCGTCTTTGCTTTTCCTTGCATGCCCCCCCCACCCCAAGAGATGACAGATTCTCTTGTGCTGGGGGGGGGTGTCTTCAGTTGGGAAGAGAGACCCCCCTCCAAAAGAGAGCAGAGCCCCCCACCCCCGCACGCCCGCACCCCGGCCCACCCCCCCACCCCCCGCACAGAACCACTCCAAGGAAGAGAGGCCGACGCATCGAAGCGGGAACGCGAAAGGAGCTCAAGCCAGGAAATGTGTCAATTTACTTGGACTCCTTGCAATTTAGAAGCTGATTTCAAAGAAAAATTGCTTCAGGCCTCAGACTCCTGCGTGGCCAGCTGGGGCCCATTGCTACAGCCCACTGACCTCGGGCTAGGAAGGCGGTTCCTGGGAGGGCGCGAGCCGCGCGGCCGCAGGCGCAATCCAGCTAATGCAGGCGGCGGGGCGCGCTGGCCCCGCGTCCCCGCCTCCTGCTCCCCAGGACGGCGCCCGCCGGACGGCGCAGCAGCTGTCGTGAGGCCGGGTCGACAGCGGACGGGATTCCAGAGAACCTCGTACCCCTCCACGGCAGCCCCCTCACCCCTTTCCAACCTTTTCTGGTCTCCGGGCGCAGGGCGCGCTCCAAGGCTTGGTGCTCCCTGCCTTCCCGCTCCCCCCCCCCCTCCCGCCCTGCGAGACCTCCTAGGTTAACGGTTCTGCCTCCAGCCCCCCGCTCCCCCCGAAGGAAAAGAAACAGTCTGGCCTGAGCAAGAGTGACTGGGCAGAGGGGCAAGAAATCCAGCCCCCCCCCCCGCCCCACAACACACACACATAAATCATGACAGAGGCCTTTTCCGTTGATAGCTTCAATCCGAGAGTGTCTCATTTAAAATCCACCCTCTCCCATTGCCAGCCTGAGATGAGGGATACGGGGTTATCAGATTGCTCTGTGGTAATAAGGAACATATTAATCTCAGCCGAGTTTCCAGAGAGATGCTGGGTTTTGGTTTGGTTTGGTTTGATTGGGTTCTGGCTCAGAAAGGGCAGTTGTTCAAATAGTGTTGTTGTTTGAGAGTGAACCATTAATCAGTTGTTCCTTCAACAGATCCTTCAAGAATCTATCAAGGGAGCTTCAGTTGTTCAGAGGGGAGAGACCTCTGCAGAGCCAATCTGAGAGCAACTGGAGGATTCATTACATCTGGTCAAAGGGAGCCTGTCTGGAGGAAGGAGGAAACCGGTGATCTGGGGAAAGCTTCGGGATGGCACCTCAGCCAGTGGGGTTATTCTAGGTCGAGGCAAACCGTGGGAGGCCAGAAGCAAAGGGACACAGCCACCAGCAGGTGGGGCTGAGCGGACAGAGCAGGGTAGACCAGATGACTTTTCTCCTCAGCTGCCCCAGTGCTGCCCCAGCCCTGGGTTCCCTACCTGAACTTTTTTCTTTTGTGAAGACAACCGTCTAGACGAATGAAGATAACCTTTCCAGACCAATCATGACCTTCCACTGGGACATTTGCATGCAATTCTTACAGAAAGGTCACCCAGAAAATTCCGTGGTTGAAGAGCATCCTTCCAAACAACAAATGTGACAATTAAAACAAAGCACCCTTCTCATGTGGTGGCGCGGAAGCAGCTGGGCTCCAGGATGGCTTGGCTGGCCCAGGCTCATGGCACTTGTCACCTAAAGGAAACAATAGCAGCTCTGTAGGCATTTCTGTCTGAAAGGGCAGGAGCTATTGCTGGCTGCTCAGTTCAGGACAATGAGACAGGGCAACAAGAGACTTCCCATCAGGACTACAGGGTGGTTTCACCACCTTCCCCAAGCCCCTGTATTCCTACCTACCCCTGCCTCCCAGTGTGTGCGTGCATGTGCTGGTGAAGAAGACTTGGTTTTGATTCCAGAGCAGGACTTGAAGCTTGGGGAAGGGCACAGGCAAAGAGGCTGTGGGTGTGTCTCTTCCATTCTACTCTGAAAAAGCCAGATCGCCCACGGCTTTGTCCTGAAATTGAAAAATGTATATTAGACTGTTAGAACCAAAGACACATTTCTCACTTTCTCCTGAGGAACCAGCTCTTCCATAGGAACGAGTGTTTATGGATAGATTATGGCTCCTCTAAAAAGATACTCAGATGCTGGTTATCTTGGTGGGTACTCTACCTAAAGGGAAATTAACCCATGTAAAGCCCTTACAGCTTAGATGGCTTACTTTTGAACCTTCTTCCCCATCCATACCCCTCCTACACAGCTCACTGGGTCAGGGGTTGGAGGCCTAACCCACAAAAAGGACCCTTCAATACCTTTCCAATGACCTATGAGCCATATGGTTTCCAAGAAAATAATAAAAGGAAGAGAAATAACTGAACCTATTACATTCCCTCTGCCTTTCTGTGTCTCTTTCTTTTTCTCTCTCTCTTGGACATGAGCCATGAATAAGAGAAGAATTTCCCACTGGCAGAAGAAATTACTCCTGAAGAGTCATGAGGTAAATTTAGAACAAAAGCAACCAAAGTTAGGGGCGAGCTGGGGCAGGAGACAGGCAGAGGGAGCCCCTGTTGGCTGGGAGTGAGCAAGAAAGAGACATAGAATCTAGGTATTTTGTCTCGATGGTGCAGTGCTGGAATAATGACCCTGCTGGAGCCCCCTTGAATCCTGCTCCATTTCCAGATGACCCAGCTACCGATCCCCTGGTTTCTGGACTTCCTCACTTGCACACGCACCTTAACATTAATTCCCTTTACTTTGGCAAGCTTCAAGAAGTCTCTATCCCTTCTTTGAAAATAAGCCTGGGAGAGGGAAAAAAAAAACCCCACACAACAGACATCTTGGGAGACTTGCTTTCCCCGGGCCCAGAAAGGAAAGGGTGATTAAATTGAGAACACATTTAATTGTTCCTAATCTATTTGATTAAAGGAAGGAGGACCCAAAGCTCTGCAATCACTGGACACAGAGAGGATGATCCGAGGCAGTCAAAGGCGCTGCCATTTATACAGATTATTGAGTAACCTGATTGCCTCAGAGGGAGAGTGATGGGTGTCTGATCTCTCCCAGCAGGAAGGCTGCCCATTGGAGACTGGAAAAACTGAAGTCACAGCAGCTCTCCTGTCTCCCTCTGGGCAGGGCCAGCAGCATGGGCACCATAGCAAATACGGCTGGAGAAGAAGTCAAAACCCTGTTCCACCTGATTCCTTGAGCCTTGTGGACTCTGACACAAGATGAGAGGCTACAAGAAGGCTAGGAGGATGCTAAATTGTCAATCACTCAGGTGTTTTATCTTTTTCCTATTGGGTTTACAGTGAACATGCTCTAGGTGAGGAAGAATGCACAGCAGTATCACAAATATCAAGAAGTTTCTACGCCATTAAATGTTCTTTGCAGCCTGTTTGAGGAGGCTGGGAGGACAAAGGTAGAGCAGATTATAAGACCTCAACTAACCAGAATTCAACTAACCATAACTTTTCAATTAGACACTTAACTTTCTACTTTTATAAACATGAAATGTCAAACGGCAAAAAAATTCAATTAAAAAATGTCAGACTAGGTTATTTCTTAGCAGCTACACGTTGAGATCTCTAGGATTATGACCTTGCCATACTGCAGGATCTTGACTCACATGAGAATGTTTGTTTCGTTCAGTAAGTTCTAGTGACAAAGGCATTTGTATGATTCCAAATACTTTGGATAGGTTTGCAATAGGTTTCTGTTTTGTTCTCATAGAAGCAGGGAATTGGATGCTTAAATGCTCACCCATGAGATCCTATACATTATTCTTTAAGACTATAACAGCCTGAATATCATATTTTCTTCTGAGAAGAGGGATCATGAGGATGGATTTTTCCAGGTGCTCCCAACTTATACAAATGCCTCAAGCACTCAAAGACATGAGTGAGCCATTGCCCATAAACAAGTCTTGGAATTTGGACTTGTTTGATTAAGAGACATGGGTTTAAGTCTCAGCCTTGCCAGTCGAGGAATGACCTTGAGAAAGCCTAGTCTCATTTTCCTCAGCTATAAAATAGAGAGATTGTATCAGTGTCGAAAATGATCTATCTTGGGCAGCCTGGGTGGCTCAGCAGTTTAGCGCTGCCTTCACCCCAGGGTAGGATCCTGGAGACCTGGGATCAAGTCCCACGTCGGGCTCCCTGCATGGAGCCTGCTTCTCCTTATGTCTCTGCCTCTCTCTGTCTGTCTCTCTCATGAATAAATAAATAAAATCTTAAGGGCACCTGGGTGGCTCAGTGGTTGAGTGTCTGCCTTTGGCTCAGGTCATAATCCTGGGGTGCTGAAATCGAGTCCTGCATTGGGCTCCTCACAGGGAGCCTGTTTCTCCCTCTGCCTATGTCTCTGCTTCTCTTCTCTGTGTAATAGAATAAATAAATAAATAAATAAATAAATAAATAAATAACCAACCTTAAAAAAAAAAATAACAACAGGAAAGTGTTTTGGAAAACCCAAAACAAAACAAAAAAAAGCAATGATCTATCTCCAAAGATATTTTCACTTCCAAAACATGCCACCACCATTTGGAGAGGAAATTTCAAGGCTACTTGTCTTAATTTGAGCCCTAAATTCAAGGCAAGTTGTGGAGGGTGTTACCTTTGAGCGAATCTCCTGCTCAAAGTATTACAACTTTGCCCTCTGAGGAAAATTCCACCCGGGATGATCATCCTGCATATTTAGTCCTGATTGTAGTTTACAAACTTCTTGATATAGAAACACTTTGAAGGTTCCAGTCCATCACCAAGGTTTGGCATTTAATGATATATGCCTCCCATACTGGAGACCCCCTGACCAGACCTGAGATTACGTAGCCTGGAGGACACCTTTGTATCCCTCAGACCTTTCATCCCAGGCTGAAACTAGAAGTTCTTCCAAATCCATTTGGAGATGAAGAAGTGGCAGGCTTCACATGGGAAAATGATGAGGTGCTTCCTTCCTCTTAGAGCTGGTGACCTCGCTTTTCAGGACTCCCATGGCCTCATAGGCCAAGGGGTCAGGGGCCTGAAAAATAGGGCAGAACCAGGTTTCCTTTTAGACCACACACTCAACCCACTGCAACAGCTGCGTGTAAGCTAATGTAATCAGCGTGGGAGAGACAATATTCCTAATGCTGAGGCTTAGGCTCTGGAGCCATGAAGTTTGGACAAGTGACTTCATCTACTAAGATTTTAATCTCATCTGCAAAATGGGTTTAGAAACAATCCTCACTTCATAACCTTGGTGTATCAATTCAGTGAGAATTTATGCCAAGTACCTGGCAGATAGAAAGTGTTTAGTAACATGTAGCTCCTATCTTGTCATATCCCAACGACCCCCAAAACCTTTCTCTGTCCCTTCAGTCTCCGAGGACAGGGCATCACAAGAGCTAAGTTTGCTATGACCTCTCTGTCTCATCTAGGAGGAGTGGGGACTGAAGAACCTTCTGGTTTGTGGTGAGCATGAATCGGTTCACTGGCTGTGAGTCAACAGCTCTGATTTCTGCACCTGTGACTTCACTCAGTCCTGAAGCACCACCTCTACCCTTTGTGGATAAAGGTGAGAAATGAGTCATTTTTGCCACCCTCAAGCCCTGATGGTTTCGATCACACCTATGTTCATTAGAGTTCTACAGGAATCATAAAATAACTTTTAGTTGAGGTTTGGGCAATCAGATGTAGCCAAGCTTAATTAGAAAAGAAGAGGTTGTATAATTTGACACAAGGAGGGATAGCCAGAGTTTCATTGTGGCACTTGGGCTAAACCAATGGGCTTGAGCACACAGTGACGGTTCACTCATTCTGCCTCTGCCATTTGCCAGCTGCATAGCTGTGGGCAAGTTGGCCCTCTCCAAGCCCACACTGCCTTCATTGTGAGGAGAAGATAAAACCCTAGTAGTAACTCTATCCTAGGGTTTTGCTGGAGACAAGCATTCTGTAGCTTAGTGTCTGTTGATATTGAATCTACTGAGCTTCTCTCCCAGATCCACTGATGGCTAGTAGGCAATTCCATGAACCATCTGATATCTCTCCATCAATGGCAACAGTAAGCAAGCAGCTCATCCTCCTTCTGGACTGGTCTCCCAACTTGCACCACGTTTACCAACTTGGACTGCCCCAGGACAGCCCTGAGCCTGCAAACCCACCACTAGCAGGGGCACACTTCTTTATCCCCTGCAGGTCATCAGCCCTGGAGCAGGCTGGGGTCAACAGAACAGGGAAGGCTTCCACCTGATCCCCTCTGGAGATCACCTGCCCCTAGAGAGAGTCTATATCCAGCAGGAAGGTGGTAGGGACTTCATGACTCTGGGTTGTAGCTCTGGTAAAATACATGGCAAAGCTTCCTCTTCCTCTCCTTCTCTTGACTACCTCTTGGTCTTCCAGTGGAACTTCCCACCACCCACCTGATATCCTTCAAGTCTTGGTCATAGCATTTCCTACTTGAACTTAGTGTTTATTTCAACCTTTTTTTTTCTATCAAATGTTCAGCCATTCTTAGCATGGACTCTGGTCTCAGACTACCTGCATTGCAATGCTGCTTCCTATGGATGTGGCTTTAGCCAAGTTACTTAAACTCTCTGCAGCTGTAACACTGGGATAATAATAGCTCCTCCTTTACAGAGTTGTCCTGAGGACTGAACAAGTGGATGCAGGTAAAGCACCGGTGAGCGCATCTGGAGCACAGTAAACAGCTGACTGCGGTGCTATTGTGTTCTTATGCCTGAGGGACATCTCATAACCTGTGGTGTTCTTCAGAGGTTTCACCTTGCAGGAGAAAGGGAGTAGAGACTGTCCAGTCAGCTCTCCGCCAGGATGCAGAGTTAATCCACTGTGTTGCAACACACAGTTGGACTCTCCCTCTGCCTGTTTATCATGATCCTAGGGCAGCTCAGAGCTTCCTGCGCTGGGGACAGTTCCTCTTCTGGAACTCTCTGTTTACTCACATTTCTGTAGATCCACCCTTCCCCAATTACACACAGGGAAATATGTATCCACATTTTACAAACAGATGTAGATTTAATTTTTAAAAACTCAGTATACCCCAAACATGTCCATCTCGCCACCACTCCCATGCTCAACCCCATACCTTCGCAGGAGATGGGAGAGAAAGAGGCAGTTATGCTGTGTCCCTCACTCTCCCTAAAGATGGGCTGCTGTGGTTCTTTTTTTTTTTTTTTTATGAAATTGACTGTGGTTGTTTTTTTTTAATTTTTTTATTTATTTATGATAGTCACAGAGAGAGAGAGAGAGAGAGAGAGAGAGAGAGAGAGAGAGGCAGAGACACAGGCAGAGGGAGAAGCAGGCTCCATGCACCGGGAGCCCGACGTGGGATTCGATCCCGGGTCTCCAGGATCGCGCCCTGGGCCAAAGAAAGGCAGGCGCTAAACCGCTGCACCACCCAGGGATCCTGGCTGCTGTGGTTCTTAATATTTCTCCTCAAGAGCCTCTTTTAACAATCTTCAACAGCGGGATCCCTGGGTGGCGCAGCAGTTTGGTGCCTGCCTTTGGCCCAGGGCGCGATCCTGGAGACCTGGGATCGAGTCCCATGTCGGGCTCCCGGTGCATGGAGCCTGCTTCTCCCTCTGCCTGTGTCTCTGCCTCTCTCTCTCTCTCTCTCTCTCTCTCTATCATAAATAAATGAATTTAAAAAATTAAAAAAAAAAAACAATCTTCAACAGCAGAGGAGTAGAATTAAAGGAAGATTCTGAGGAGCATCCTGTCTTTTTGGCCAGTTGGGTAAAACTCATGGAAGTAATGTTCCCAAACCCCACCCTCCATCCCTACCCAGACCCCAATCCGCACAGTCCTAAAAATGGCTCAGGACAAAAGTCATCTTCACAGAAAGTGCTGGCAAAAGACCCAATGGGAAGGAAGCTACCTTTGCTGCATGCAGGGGCTTGAGAGGGCCTGAGGGCCTGAGGGACTCTGAGCACTCCTCACACCTCTCCCATCTGTGTGGCACAACAGACTCCAGACATTTCCAAATAATTGCCCATCAGCTTCCCAGTAAAACGAAAAGGCCGTAGTTGGCACTTTCTTTTCGCTCCCCACCCAAGCTGTTCACGCAAGAGAAAAAAAAAATTTTTTTTTAAGCCTACGAGTTGAAAGGCTTTTTTTAAGCACCTACCCACATGAAGGGAAGACTGTTTAATTTAGAGCTAGAGCTACAAGATCAAAAATAGGAATAATTAAAGCCTGAGATGTAACTGTTAAGATAGGCATTTTTATTTTCTTTGCCAAGTTCTTAAACAGGTAAACCACATATTTAAAGAAAGTGCTAAGATCTGAAAATCCCAATGGGGATTTTTTTTTCCTTGTTTAAGACGTAATGAGTGCAGTCTTCAGAGACCAGGGAGCAGGGTTTATTAAGCTCCCTAAACTGTCAGCTGAATAATTACCTAGCAAAGTCTGTGTGTAGGTGACTCCCCACGATTTAGCTTCTTTCCTGTTTTGAAACAGAAGGTTATGAACCTCTGGAACAAAATTTGGCAAACTCAGGGAATGTCAGTTTGTGGCCTTCTTTTTCATCATGTGATTATTTGATTTTTAAGCCTGGTAAATATACTGAATTTCACTCAAGTACCCTTTCCATTTTGTCCTAGAGGATGTAGAATTTAAAAACAAAACAAACAGACCAACAAATAAAAAACCCAACCAAACACAAAATATCTCCCTTTTTCAGAGTGGCTGGAGCCAAATGAACTTTATGTCAAAACCCACCAACAGCCTGACAGTTTATACTCCAAGGAGAAGATGAAACCGGCACATTAAGAACTGAATGCAAAATAAGAATTCTGAAAAAAAAATCTCATGACTGCCAAACCTGTTGGTTTTTTAATATGATTATAATTTTAAATTATGGCTTTAAAATATCTGAGTGCTTAGATGTTATTGCTTTAAAATCTCCACTTGAGGGGCTGTGGCTGTGGGGTTTCCCATTCACCTAAAAGGAATCTGGACAGCTGAATAAAGGGCTCATCCTCTTGTGGCATGGACCTCCTCCTCATCATATTTTGAAACCAAAGTATTCAACCTCCTTCCCCACAGGGTGCAAGGTACCTTCACAAAGACAATGCGTGTCACTATGCTAACTTGACTGAAAGTACACCTAAGCAATGAACTCAAGAGCTGACACAAAACCTGATGTGGAGCAGAGATCATACCTGGCTTGCTGGTGTCCCAGAGGAACTTTGCCTGGGTGTTGGGCAGGTCTGGTAGCTTCACCTGACCAGGCGCGAGAGGTGGGATTTGCAGAAGAGAACACCAAAATCTCAGTTCCTTGTTGTAAAGGAGGAAAATTAAGAGCCCACCTGTTCCAGAGCTGGCCAGCTTCCTTTAGGTTCAGTTGAATAAGATGTTCTGTTGCTTCTGCCCTAAAACCAGCAAACTACCTCCCGGCTTCTGCTACTACCTCTATCATCTGCCAAACATCAAAATGGGCCCTGAGTAGGCCGCCTGCTTCTCTATCAGGGATAGTAGGAGAGTTCAGAGGAGGGCAGTGATCAGCCAGTGTTATCTTAGACTCCTGTCCCCAGCTAGAAATCTCCATTGTCCATGTAGACAAAGGTCATTGGAGAAAGAGGCAAATCCCCAGTGTAGCTGTAGAGTGTTCCTGATGGGACCTTATTTCTAGACTTATCAGCCTTGATCATGTTCCTGGGACTGGAGACTGGCCATCAACATTCACTGGACAAACCACAAAATGAAGAAACAAATGTAAAGGAGCGATCCTGTGGCCACATATTTGGTAGTTTCCCATTGGAATCAGGAATTAAGTTGTTAAGATGTTTTATTTCACCCTGATTTTTTTTCAGGTCACCCTTGCCCTGGAAAGACTTCTGTTTATATGAGTACCCCTTGCCTCAAGACAAGCTGCCAACTTCTTGGGAAACTTTTCTATCCTGACACCCAGAGTTATTTCCCAAAGTTTGGGGCTGGCATTTGTCTCCACTCTTTACTTAGGCTACTAGGTTATCAGTGTTCCAAGAACCTTGAACACCTAAGGCTTTTTCACTGTGTCTCCCT